ATAGGTCAATTGTCAGTGACCTATGAGTGACACTCAACCGTCAGATTCTTATGGGCTGATGAACCTCACGCTTGGCTAACGGTCTCTTACTGCGGCACTACTGACATCACTGCATCTACTGAATGGCACACACACGACCATACCACTTTACATTCAAATATAAGAAAAAAATATGTTCACAGAAAAGCGTCAACCCGTAACGGGTCATAGCGGCTGGGGAATGGCAAGTGGGAGGAGGACAACTCTAATTCCTTAGACCAAGCGCCCGTTATCAGCATTAATATATAATAGTAATACTAATAATATCTTGATAATTACTTGATCTATGAATATAGCAATAACTTAGTTGAAACCATCTGAGAAGAGGCATTATTAGTATAGTTAGCGAAGTCTCCAGTGATGATGTGAGAGTCAATATGGAAGACAATTCACTACTGTCACTGACTACCAGGTGAGGCTCCACCCTGGAGTGCACCACCAAAATGAAGACACCAGTTCCAATCTCACTATAGTATGTTCGCTTACTTCAGATGAAGAAATACTTTCTAACAGTCTCAGGTGAATAAACACTTTCTAACCTCAGGCGAAGAAATACTTTGTAACATCAGGCGAAGAAATACTTTCTATCAACCTCAAGTGAAGAAATACTTTCTAACCTCAGGTGAAGAAATATTTTCCAGCAATATTTCACCGCCCCCCTTTTTTAACCTGAAGGGATTATGGCTTTAATTATATTATTGAACCTGTTACAGGGGTCACCTACATGTTATGTCCTTGTTGTTGTTCTTGTGTAAATAGGATTAAGATTACCATCTTTCTTAATGTTATGTTCTGTCATAAGCGATATTTTCTAATGTATTTGTGTCACCTCTTTGTATCTGTTAATATTGTGTTTATTTTGCTATTGTACGTCCTGAGGGATTGTGATTCATCATGTATTTATATTAAATGTATATCAACCCTTGTTTAACGGGTTTTATGTTAAGCTATGTATTGTATTTAAAAAAAAAAATATTTCACCGCCCCCCTTTTTTGGAGCGCTGTATGACCCATAAGAGTTTAGCTCTTTTTGTGAATATAACCATTTATTTTTTATTAGTTTTCAAGTGGAGCTCCTGGTTGTCCTTCTTAAGGAACCTGCATCACACTGATCTAACTTCTGTTTTACTTTCATAAACTTAAATGTGATTCTGTTTTATTTTACTCCTGGTTACCAAGGAAAAATATTAAGCGTTCTTCAGTGTTTATTTGTAGTTTTCTCCTAGATACATTTATCTGGTGATGGTTCCAGGGATCATCTCTGTGACTTAGTCTCACACCAGCCCCTCATGGGTGATGGCCGGGTCACTCTGGCTCGTTGTGCTCGCTCCATGCAGTTCCATGTATTCATCACAGCCCAGCTGATCACATAATGACTAGAGGAACTTAACAATTTCCATCATGACGGCAGGCGTCTATTGGTAACGCTCCTTATCTCTGAAGGAAGTGCGTTGAAAAGTCTTGAATTTTCACGGGTAATTCCCAATATCGTCGAAGGAAGGGAGTTAGAAAGTTTTAGACTCTACTAATAATGTATTTATCTTTCAAGGAAATGTGTTAAAAAGTCTTGAAACTTTTATGCCTATTGAATTATTTTAGTGTATGTATTGAAATTTTGCATGGTGTAACGTGTGTGCAAGCAGGGGTGACTGTACAAGGTACTGACTCACACCCTACTATTATAATAAGTAAAAACATACATACTGCCACACTGACATACTAATAAGCGCGAGTTTTTACGCTCGATGGAATGAAGAAACCAACTTTATACACTCATGAGTCCTGATTACAGGTAATTTCACCCCAGGATAGACTAACCACACTTAATGGTTAATAGCATTATGAAAGCTGGGGAGAAGAACACTTAGGCTGTGTTCACTGCGAGTAAGAGTGTTGGTACTGCGGAGTTATATGACATATACTCACTGTGGGTAAGAGTGTTGGTACTGCGGAGTTATATGACATATACTCACTGTGGGTAAGAGTGTTGGTGCTGCGGAGTTATATGACATACTCACTGTGGGTAAGAGTGTTGGTGCTGCGGAGTTATATGACATACTCACTGTGGGTAAGAGTGTTGGTGCTGCGGAGTTATATGACATACACTCACTGTGGGTAAGAGTGTTGGTACAACGGAGTTATATGATATAAGAGTTACCCGTCACTTTCTTGTGACCAGTTTCTTCTACTCAGCCTATCTTAGACCCACTTCCGTACTAACTTGCCTACTAACAGGCTATTGTTGCCAGTGACCATTGGCCTGCATAAACATCACCACCCAGTGATCTGCCACATCATGCAAAACTTTAGAACGGTTACAGTCTTGAAACCTATCCTGTTCCGTCTCGATGGAGGTTCCTTCATGCTTTATCCCTAGGAAGTGGACCTATCCTTCCTTTCCCTGAAGAGCCTGATTGTCTCCATATTCCCCAGGCCTGTATGACCCCTAAGGGTTATGCCTCCACCAATCTACCTTAGTTCTGGATTATTGGCTACTTACGCAACCGTCATAGAAGGTGGTGAGGGCGTGGGTAGAGGTGAGGGCGGCGTGTGTAGCGTGGGCATGACGGGCATGAGGGCATGATGGTGGTGGTGGTGGTGGTGATGGGCAGGGTGGTGGTGACCCTCCCCGTTGACCTTGTCGGGCGGCGTCAGTGACCCAGCCAGCATCGTTGACCCGGGATCTGAATACATAAACAATACAACATTATTTATATAATAATCAGATATTGACAGACGGGAAGGACATCAGAATTTAGATCTGCTCAGGAAGTTACAGATATGTCATCACAGGTAACCAAATAACATTGCTTTATTAAATACACAATAACAACACTAATAACATTATTAAAGTGATTTTAATAATTTAGTGAAAACTATAAAATTGCATTGTTGATAGAACAAATATAAAATAAATTTTGTATTATGTTTCAAAAGTTGAGCACCAATTTAATCCCCAACTACAATAGCATTGTTAAATAAGTGAAAGGATAGAGGTGGTAATGGTGCACAGATGGTGAGCTTAGCGTGAGTGTTGCAAGAGCGATGGATGGTGCAAGGGACTCCCCTCTGCAACATCCACAACAACAACCTTCTCGGAAGCGTAAACACGTGTTAAATAAGCAAGGCAAAAACCACATGCAAGAAGCCCAGGAGCCAAGCGTCGAGATTAGTGAAGAGTTATGATCAGTCGCAGTGGTAGAACTCACAACCCACCACCACCACCAAATCAGTCGCAGTGGTAGAACTCACAACCCACCACCACCACCAAATCAGTCGCAGTGGTAGAACTCACAACCCACCACCACCACCAAATCAGTCGCAGTGGTAGAACTCACAACCCACCACCACCACCAAATCAGTCGCAGTGGTAGAACTCGTCAACATAGTCAACCACAGTGTTAGACCTCACCACCATACAATCAAGCCAAGTGACAAACAGGATATAACACTGAAAGACATCCGAGACTTGAGTACCGACAACTAAGATACACCCAGGATAAAGGTGACATACACTAGTAGTATGTTAGTAGTGTAAAGAGTGAGAACGCCAGCGACCTCCAGTACAAGATGCAGTTCAAGGAAGTCACAGTCAGCTCAACCAATTATATGTTGAACTGGAGGAAGCATAAGTGTGGTTGAAGGTGAACATGGTTGATGGCAGGAAGAACATATGATGCAGGAAGAACATGGTGACACAGGACACTCAAAGATAGCAGAACTTATGTCTTCTACCTCACTTCTAGGGATGTCTTCATGCTGGAGCTACTAGTCCTCTTCATTAAATCAAACCATTCTTCAGGTTGTCGTAGGAACCTCTATGAGTCGGTACTTCCCATGAATAAATTATTACCTATTGACTACACGCGCGCACACACCACAAACACACACACACACGCACACAACGCACACACGCACACACACCACACACACCATCATCACGCACACACACCACATACACGCACACACACGCACACACGTACGTTTCTTTCTGAATCAAATCATAATATTAACCCTAACTCTTGGGAATATAAAATTGATATTACCCCCGGGACTGATGTATCAGTGAAGACTTTAGTTAAGTTTCTATGATGTGTGTTAGTCGTCACACCTTGGTGGTAAGATGAAGGTAATACACAGGTGTAAGGTGCAGGTGGTGGACCAGTGTGACAGTGTAAGGTGCAGGTGGTGACCGTACAGTGTAAGTGCAGTGGACGTGTGCTTGTAAGGTGCAGGTGGTGACAGTGTGACAGTGTAAGGTGCAGTAGTGGACATGTGACAGTGTAAGGTGCAGGTGGTGACCAGTGTGACAGTGTAAGGTGTAGTGGTGGACAGTTTGTTGACAGTGTAAGGTGCAGGTGGTGTGACCAGTGTGACAGTGTAAGGTGCAGGTGGTGGACCAGTGTGACAGTGTAAGGTGCAGGTGGTGGACCAGTGTGACAGTGTAAGGTGCAGGTGGTGGACCAGTGTGACAGTGTAAGGTGCAGGTGGTGAACCAGTGTGACAGTGTAAGGTGCAGGTGGTGGACCAGTGTGACAGTGTAAGGTGCAGGTGGTGGACCAGTGTGACAGTGTAAGGTGCAGGTGGTGAACCAGTGTGACAGTGTAAGGTGCAGGTGGTGGACCAGTGTGGACAGTGTAAGGTGCAGGTGGTGAACCAGTGTGACAGTGTAAGGTGCAGGTGGTGGACCAGTGTGACAGTGTAAGGTGCAGGTGGTGGACCAGTGTGACAGTGTAAGGTGCAGGTGGTGAACCAGTGTGACAGTGTAAGGTGCAGGTGGTGAACCAGTGTGACAGTGTAAGGTGCAGGTGGTGGACCAGTGTGACAGTGTAAGGTGCAGGTGGTGACCAGTGTGACAGTGTAAGGTGCAGGTGGTGGACCAGTGTGACAGTGTAAGGTGCAGGTGGTGGACCAGTGTGACAGTGTAAGGTGCAGGTGGTGGACCAGTGTGACAGTGTAAGGTGCAGGTGGTGGACCAGTGTGACAGTGTAAGGTGCAGGTGATGGACCAGTGTGACAGTGTAAGGTGCAGGTGGTGAACCAGTGTGACAGTGTAAGGTGCAGGTGGTGGACCAGTGTGACAGTGTAAGGTGCAGGTGGTGAACCAGTGTGACAGTGTAAGGTGCAGGTGGTGGACCAGTGTGACAGTGTAAGGTGCAGGTACTGGACCAGTTTGACAGCGTAAGGTGCAGGTGCAGGTACTGGACCAGTGTGACAGTGTAAGGTGCAGGTAATGGACCGGTGTGACAATATAAGGTGCAGGTACTGGACCAGTGTGACAGTGTAAGGTGCAGGTGGTGGACCAGTGCGACAGTGTAAGGTGCAGGTACTGGACCAATGGCAGTGTAAGGTGCAGGTGCTGGACCAGTGGCAGTGTAAGGTGCAGGTGCTGGACCAGTGGCAGTGTAAGGTGCAGGTAGCTGGACCAGTGGCAGTGTAAGGTGCAGGTGCTGGACCAGTGGCAGTGTAAGGTGCAGGTGCTGGACCAGTGGCAGTGTTAGGTGCAGGTGCTGGACCAGTGGCAGTGTAAGGTGCAGGTGCTGGACCAGTGGCAGTGTAAGGTGCAGGTGCTGGACCAGTGGCAGTATAAGGTGCAGGTGATGGACCAGTGGCAGTGTAAGGTGCAGGTGCTGGACCAGTGGCAGTGTAAGGTGCAGGTGCTGGACCAGTGGCAGTGTTAGGTGCAGGTGCTGGACCAGTGGCAGTGTAAGGTGCAGGTGCTGGACCAGTGGCAGTGTAAGGTGCAGGTGCTGGACCAGTGGCAGTATAAGGTGCAGGTGATGGACCAGTGGCAGTGTAAGGTGCAGGTGCTGGAACAGTGGCAGTGTAAGGTGCAAGTGCTGGACCAGTGGCAGTGTAAGGTGCAGGTACTGGACCAGTGGCAGTGTAAGGTGCAGGTACTAAACCAGTGGCAGTGTAAGGTGCAGGTGCTGGACCAGTGGCAGTGTAAGGTGCAGGTGCTGGACCAGTGGCAGTGTAAGGTACAGGTGCTGGACCAGTGGCAGTGTAAGGTGCAGGTGCTGGACCAGTGGCAGTGTAAGGCGCAGGACCAGTGGCAGTGTAAGGTGCAGGTGCTGGAACAGTGGCAGTGTAAGGTGCAGGTGCTGGACCAGTGGCAGTGTAAGGTGCAGGTGCTGGAACAGTGGCAGTGTAAGGTGCAGGTGCTGGACCAGTGGCAGTGTAAGGCGTAGGACCAGTGGCAGTGTAAGGTGCAGGTGCTGGAACAGTGGCAGTGTAAGGTGCAGGTGCTGGAACAGTGGCAGTGTAAGGTGCAGGTGCTGGACCAGTGGCAGTGTAAGGTGCAGGTGTTGGACCAGTGGCAGTGTAAGGTGCAGGTGCTGGACCAGTGGCAGTGTAAGGTGCAGGTGCTGGACCAGTGGCAGTGTAAGGTGCAGGTGCTGGACCAGTGGCAGTGTAAGGTGCAGGTGCTGGACCAGTGGCAGTGTAAGGTGCAGGTACTGGACCAGTGACAGTGTAAGGTGTAGGTCTGGACCAGTGGCAGTGTAAGATGCAGGTACTGGACCAGTGGCAGTGTAAGGTGTAGGTGCTGGACCAGTGGCAGTGTAAGGTGCAGGTGCTGGACCAGTGGCAGTGTAAGGTGCAGGTGTTGGACCAGTGGCAGTGTAAGGTGCAGGTGCTGGACCAGTGGCAGTGTAAGGTGCAGGTGCTGGACGAGTGGCAGTGTAAGGTGCAGGTACTGGACCAGTGGCAGTGTAAGGTGCAGGTACTGGACCAGTGGCAGTGTAAGGTGCAGGTACTGGACCAGTGGCAGTGTAAGGTGCAGGTACTGGACCAGTGGCAGTGTAAGGTGCAGGTACTGGACCACTGGCAGTGTAAGGTGCAGGTACTGGACCAGTGGCAGTGTAAGGTGCAGGTGCTGGACCAGTGGCAGTGTAAGGTGCAGGTGCTGGACCAGTGGCAGTGTAAGGTGCAGGTACTGGACCAGTGGCAGTGTAAGGTGCAGGTACTGGACCAGTGGCAGTGTAAGGTGCAGGTACTGGACCAGTGGCAGTGTAAGGTGCAGGTGCTGGACCAGTGGCAGTGTAAGCACGAAGATAAATGGTATAAAATACCTACACGATGGAAAGACACAAATGCAGTATAATACGATTCTTTATTGACAACATTTCGCCCACAGTGGACTTTATCAAGTCACAAACTGGTCTGTTTGTGACTTGATAAAGTGGACTTTATCAAGTCACAAACAGACCAGTTTGTGACTTGATAAAGTCCACTGTTTGGGCGAAACGCTGTCAATAAAGAATCGTATTATACTGCGTGTGCCTTAACATTGTGACAGTGTAAGGTGCAGCATGAACCGTGTGGGTTAAAAATTTTAAAGCCAGAGAGAGAAGCATGAAAGAGGCACAAGCGAGGCCACGGCACAACATGGATAACAAGAACAGGATGAGGAGCTTACATCTGTGAAATCCGTAAGGCTTGACATCTGCTGAGGGCCACGCTGGGGAGGAGAAGAAACAAGAGAAGTCAGTCTACTGCTGTGAAGGTTCACGCTTCCCACACATAGTTGGAGACACCAGTGGGTAATACACCACAGACAGACAGACACACACACACACACCTACCTTATTGTTAGTTTCTAACTTACACTATAACACACGAGGAAAGTGCTCTATAAGGAAGTGTCACTACCACTATTATCTGCTCTATGCTGCACAAACACGGTTATGAAATTCAGTAATTTACAAAGCTGGAGTAAGGAAATTATTAGAAGTACAGTAATGAGCTCTTGGCTTGTACATGAAGGTGGTACAAGATTAGTGGAGGCGACCAACTTACACTCATCTCTTAAGTATATAGACACACACATTAATATCTCTCAATATATATAGTGAGAAATGTGTATCTCAGTGAATATACACTGAAGTGTATATCTTGGTTCATACACACTGAAATGTACGTTGTCTCTGTATACACACAGTAAGGAGTGGATCTCTCGCAGTGTATATACACTCAAGCGCTTTACTTTAATACCCACCTCAGGTATTTAAGCCTTCTCAAATTTGGTTAAAAAATTTAAATCAAACAAACTGTTCTCATACCACCATTACAACGCAACACTCAAACTGTATTTCAAATTCGTTTTCTACAACACTCATTAGCACTGTGTGACCCTTATGGGTTTAACGCTTAGTTCTGACTGTATTATTATTATTATTATCATCAACAATCATTCACCCATTTACTTCTGCTAAAATTCTCGTATCACAAAAAATAAACATGAATTCAGCTAAATGAAAACTTATCATAAAATTTTAACATGAACCTGGAGTTGAATTTATAATTTTCTCCAGAGGATGCACAGAGGTCGACCTTTTGTTTTTGTTTTTTTGTCATGCGGGTGACTGAGCCATTATTAGCGCGACCAAGTAGTTATGAGAGCAACAGTCATCTTCAGTCTATAGACAAGACACGTAGTAAATAATAAAGCCAACAACAATGGGGCGATTTGGTTAGGTGGGAAGACGGACGGCAGACACGTCGGTGAGTGTAGTGACAACACCAGCGAAGGACACACTGCATCACGGACAAACGTCTTGAGAGACAGCGGTCATCACCTGAGAAACTCAGGTAACAAGTGGTATTAAGTAACAGGAGTTGCACAGGTGATGAGTGAAGGTAACAAGTGACTAGGTACAAATAACATAGGGCAAGCAAAACACAAAAAAAAGATTGAGACTAGGAGTTGTGATTGTGTACGATATCCAGCGGTAAGTTCCAGGTTGTAGTGCTGGAGAGGTGGGAGTGGCCAGGAGGCTGAAGGGGAGAGATCTATACACTGCTGCGGATGCTTATTGGCTGCCGGGTGGCTAGGCCCCGCCCACCTCCAGCTTCTTGGCCAATAGGAGCTGACAGCCTTGAAACTCCAAGAAAGCTCGCCCTTAACCTCTCGCATCTCACATCTTTGTGTGTGCCCTTAACAATGTGGCTTAAACTAGGCAATAAACAGTGTTTCTCACACGTATCAACATACGCCATTACTAACAACATGATGAGTAACACATGTACACTACACCAGAAACAATGCCACCTCCGCACACTCCATTTATGAATTCAACTCTACAAAGAAAGGTGTCTTGATGCAGGTGCAAGGCTTTTCGTCCAAAGAAATGGAACTGCCCTCTCTTTCCTTGGATCAAATCTAATTGCATCCCAATCCCCTATAGGTTTAGCGCTGCCTCCATGAGTAATATCACTGACAAGACCACATGAAGGAACATGAAATAGGCCACCACCTGGGTTTTGGTATAAGGAAGTCTAGTGTTTTAACTTGCATCATCTTGACTACCTTCCTTCCCCAGACCTTCATTAATGACGCCATAAAGTTGTTACCATTATTTACACTGAGTTACTGATGGTGGTGACACACCTGTCACAGTAATTATAAAACTGGTGTAACACATGTGTAATGGGTTTATGAAAAGCGTAGATTTTTGTCAAACTTGCTTTAAGTTATCTGTGACAGTTATGTAAGGCACGTGTGTCAGGTGTATAAGAGATTTGTGAAGGACACACAAACACACACACACACACACACACACACACACACACACACACACACACACACACACACACACACACACACACACAAACAAACTGTGGTGCTCTTGTATTGATTCAGGGCGGGTGCTCAGGGCCGCCCCCTGGCACCCACGCCACCACCACAGCCACACCAGTACCACCAAAGTGATAAGAAGCTGGAGAAGAAGCAGAGGAGGAGCAGGAGGAGGAGAAAGAGGAAAAGAGCGGAGGATGGTGGGAGGGAGAGGGGCAGGACCATCACACACATACACACACAAGATGGCCGCTACCACACTGGCTGCTTCTCTGTCTCCCGCATGATCTATTTTTCCTATCCTTTACGATACCTCACGAAGTCTTAAAAAGACCTCATGCTCCTCTACTTTCCACACACTACCTCGCACCTTCCCGGTACGTGTTCACCTCCCACCTTCCATACTCACACTAACTCCTCCATAGCCCCATTAACCCATCCACACCACATGCCAACCCTCCCCTCCTCATCTTACTATCACCATCACAGTAACACAATATACAGTTTCAAGAATAGGTATGGTAAGGGGCAAGAGGTCGTGTTACGCGCGTAACACGCTGGTACTCTACGCCTAACACGCACCAGCTTTGGAAAGCGTAACTGGAATTCTAAGAATGCAAAAAACTGTTTGGTGAGCTGGGAGCCCAGGAAGCAACCCAGCAGCAGCAGCTGGGAGCCTAGGAAGCAACCCAACAGCAGCAGAAGCTGGGAGCCTAGGAAGCAACCCAGCAGCAGTAGCTGGGATCCTAGGAAGCAACCCAGCAGCAGCAGCTGGGAGCCTAGGAAGCAACCCAGCAGCAGCAGCTGGGATCCTAGGAAGCAATCCAGCAGTAGCAGCAGTAGCTGGGAGCCTAGGAAGCAACCCAGCAGCAGCAGCAGCAGCTGGGAGCCTAGGAGGAACCCAGCAGCAGCAGCAGCTGGGAGCCTAGGAGGAACTCAGCAGCAGCAGCAGCAGCTGGGAGCCTAGGAGGAAACCAGCAGCTCGAAGCCTAGGAGGGAGCCCAACATCAGCAGCTGGAAGCCAGAGAGTGAACCTAGTATCATCTGAGTCAGAGAGTGAGCCTAGCAGCAGCAGCTGGGAGCTAGCTAGGAGGGCCCAGTAACACCCCCAGCACAGCCACAAGCTAAACGGTTCAAGGAAACTTATAAATAACACCTCTTGAAAATTGCTGGGTTGCATCAGCCGATAAAACCACCACGTTCACACAATCTCGGCTCAACATTACACCACTTGGACAAAAACAGGGAAAGTCGCCCCGTGTATCACTCTCCAAACACGGTGATACACCACCCAAAAAACACCAGAGTCCTTCACTCATATATGAACACCAGCAGGTGAACTGTTTGGGTAATGTATGGGAGGGGAAGGGAAAGGTGGAAAGGAAGGAAGGTAGAGAGGAGGAAGGGAATAATGAGGGGGACACTAAAAATGAAAGTCGGCGAACACACGATAACACAGAATTCCTCTAAAGAACAAAAAGGCACAATACCGTGACTGGAACAATATATAAATAACCCACACATAAGAGAGAGAGGAGCTTACGACGACGTTTCGGTCCAAGTCGAACCGAAGCGTTGTCGTAAGCTCCTCTCTCCTATGTGCGGGTTATATGTGTAGCATTCCTTTAGCCTTTCCCTTCTCCCGACACACACACACACCTGTTTAATACACACAATATATTAGCGACCAGTGGAGAGGCGGGGCAGGAGCTGAGGCTCAATCACTGCAACCACTAATACGAGTAAGAACTAGTAGTGTAAGTGGTACGGACAAGTTGTGAACATGTATAAAACGATCAAGACATTAAGGAAACTGACACAATACTGACGTTGGTTTTTGTAACCAGGATACATACTGACACAATGTTGATGTTATGATATGTGTAAGCAAGACGCATGGGATACTGACTTAGCAATGGAACTTATCAAGTCTACTTATCTTATTAAATGTCATCACAGTCACGTGTAACACTGCATGTTATTAGCAGTTCCCAGAGTAGCAAAGACACTCTTCTCTGGTACCACACTTGTTGTAGTGTTTATATAAAATATTATTTTCAGTGTTTTATTTCTAATTGAAATTTCACCTGTTTTACTCCTCTGTGTTTACAGTCCTTTTGCGAACGCTGCTTTACGCGTATTTTGTTTAGTTTGTCTTGCTTACAAATAATTAAATTCTGGGTTACTCTGATATATGATGTGTACCAGGAAGATATTCTGGGGGTCAACGTCCCCGCGTCCACCGCGGCCTCCCGGTGGATCAGGGCCTGATCAATCAGGTTGTAAACAGGAACAGCAAGTGTGAAGAAACATATCCGACGTTTCCGCTCATGCTGGGGATCGAACCACAGATACTCAGTATATGAGCTCAGTACATTGTCAACCAAGCCACATAAATGTCTTATGGAGCTTGTTTGTCACACTTGTTACACGGGGACCTTTTTTTTTCTTTTGATAATGAATCTGTTTGTCAATAACACCATTGTTGATGATTTGAGTTAATTTGGAATATTACAGAATCTAATAGACACACAAAATACATCTTACAATGTCCAGTAAGAAAATGTGCGTTACAATGCGCACAGAGTAGCTGTGAGTCAGCTGGGCAGCATAACACAGCACACCGCTGCAAGTGATTAACCAGGATCAGCACGTATGTGTCTCCAAGCACCAACATTGCTGAGCTCACACCATGTGGGCCAACTACACACCAATAACAACAAGGTTGCAACAACATCCTACACATGCACCCGGAAGGCTAACATAAGAGGACAATCAAGAAGGAGTATGTCGCTGTGTATATACATTCAGAGTATATTTTTTATCTCTGTTTTAGGGATTAAAATATCCTTGACTGGTAGTGAACAGGTTACGTTAAACTTGAA